CCGACGAGTAATCCTAGACTACGAAAACATATTCTCCTGTGGAATAAACAGCTCCCGACTCTGACACTTGCTCCTCGTTTTCTAGGTTGCTGATTGATTTGGTGCATCGGTTAAGGGCGCACCTGTGAATAAAACACTGTTATCGCAGAGGAAAGTGAATTCGGGGATGAACCAACGCCAAGAATCAACCCCAAAAGGCATACTCGCCATATGAATTCAAGCTTGCACATCACGTTAACAAAAGAACATGAGTTTTAAATTCAAAAGTTAATAAAGTGGACTTCATAAACGAGGTCTCGTAAGAACAAACATGTGATTGATAAGTAACGCGAAAATACGACCGCTCCATTCGTACCTGCCATGCGTCAGATAAATATCCGCTCGCCGGCAAGGCAAATGAAGTGCATGAAAATTTGCCCAGCTTTTAAAAAGCTAGAGGACATGTCATTTACAAATCGGATAGTCCTGCATCATTAATTTTCTGATTTTCCGTTCTTGAATCCGAAAACACTTCTAGCTGGAAATTTCTCATAGGTAATATTTGACGAAGCAATTCATACTGTTTCTCTTCATGATCGATCCTCCCAATGTCTCACAGCAGACTGCACACCCGGGAAAATTTCACATCAAAAATATACTCAGAAAACCAGAATTGCATAGGCCCCTTCAGTGTTTGCAATACCAACAGCAATTTGCCGCAAGGCGTCTACTCACGCCTCATGCGCAAAGCAAAAATCCATAGAACCTGTGCAACAGAGCATTCTGGAGGAATCGTAAACATGCCCTTGAGGACGCGTAGCCAGCTTAGAATCCGATATATTTTCCTGCAGTGCATACGAAAGGCTTCACGCACGTGGTCTTATTCATGGTCAGAGCACAGGAGACAAAGCCTGCTTGCATGAAAATTGTTGTTTAAATGGGCGGAATAGTAGCCTTGGGACATAGAGAATTGAAAGTTCATTATTTCTACAAAAATCAACGGTTGGTCGGAGTGTGATTCACAGGAGTGTAATTGTGGTCGAATTTTGAAGACAATGTTGGCAGTTTGATTGAAATGTCTGGCGACAAATGTTGAGCAATAATGAAGACTTCATGTAGAAGATATCCGCTCATGTACTTGAACAATATAATACAATTTCCTGCAGTATCAGAGTCTTAGTAAGAATGTTGTGGCAGATTTTGCGGACGAATATATTTCGCGATAAGCTGATTTCCGGTGGTCTTCACGTTTACTCAATATGAAGACATAGGAATTGTTTTTAATAGTTCTACCCAGGGGTCTGGATTATTCCGTTGGATCCGGAATTCTCCAACGCCATAACGAACAGGATTTACGGATGCAAGCCACCGGTACAGAGGTACCATGCGTCTAAGGTCCTGAAAATCATGAGCCGATTGAATTCAAGCGAGCAGTTTCAGCACGATTCTTACTCCAAATCAGCTGTTTTTTATAAATTATATTTGAATAGATATGGCTACCGAGAATCATCCTGAAAAAAGTACTATTCGAGCAGTGCTGTTTACCGAGTGTCGCCCCAACAGAGGAGATAAAGGAAGAGCACTTAAAAGACAAACATCCTGGCAAGAACGAAATATTGCGGAATTAGGCTGTGGGGGAAACAATATTACAACCCCAATTGTTTAGTTCTTTCTAATAGCAAAGGCATTTCCGACGTTCGGCCAGTACTTCATGAGATTAGTCGCTCACTGCAGGTGATGCTCAAAACGTTGACTTTTGTGTCTGAGCAAAAGCTCCCTAAAACACGTGACAGCCGCAAATGTTCTCCTAATTTCAAATATTTTTGGCATTCACGTTACGCAGTTGGCCGAATGCAGCGAAATGCTTGTGGGATAAGTTCGAAAACCAGTTATCGATAAACCCAATTCGAGTTGATTCGCGAGTCGCCACGAATTGGAGGACCAAAAAAAACCAGAATTGTGTTTTCCCAAATATGGCCTATAAGGCCGTAACGTATTTAGAAGTTAAAACATTTTTATCCACGTGTATCCTTTCACGAGACTGAGTGAACCTCGCATTACGATGATTCATGGCAGCATCGACCGATGCTAAGTGACTGCGAAAACAAATTTAAATAATTAAGCTATGAGAAATTTAAATGCATTAAAACACGAAGCAAGTGATGTACTCTCCGATGAGTAATCCTAGACTACGAAAACATATTCTCCTGTGGAATAAAAGGCTCCCGACTCTGACACTTACTTTTTGTTTTCTAGATTACTGTTTGAGTTGGCGCATTGGTTTAAGGCGTACCTGTGAACAAAAAACTACTATCACAAAGTAAAATGAATTCGACGATACACTAACGCCATAAATTAACCCTAAATGGCACATCGCTTTATGGATGCGAGCATGCAGATTATGTTAGTGAAATAATATGACTTTGAAATTCCAAGGTTTGCAGGGATAATTTCACCGATGTAACCGCGTAAGAACAAACATGCGATGGATAATAGTTTAGGTACTTAACGCGAGAACGTGATACTTCCATTCGTTCCCGCCATGTGTCACATAAATATCTGCCTTGCCGGAAAGGCGACTAAAATGCCAGTACATTATTACAGCCTGGAAAAAATAAAGAACTTGTTATTTGAAAATCGGATACATTTGCACCATTAATTTTGTGAATGCCTATTTTCGAATCCGAAAATACTTCTCTCCGGAAATTTATCATGGGTAATATTTGGTGGGAAATTCCATAATGTATCCCAATGTTTCGCGCCAGTTCCACGTCAGAAATCTGCTCAGAAAGCCAGAATTGCATCGGCCCTTTCAGTGTTTACGATATCAACAGCAATTTGTCGCAATGCGGCTACTCACGCCTCATGCGCAAAGCAAAAATCCATAGAACTTGTGCAACAGAGCGTTCTGGAGGAATCGTAAACATGCACTTGAGGACGTGTAGCCAGCTTAGAATCCCATACATTTTCCTGCAGTGCATACGAAAGGCTTCACGCACGTAATCTTATTCATGGTCAGAGCACAGGAGATAAAGCTTACTTGCATGAGAACTGCTGTTTAAATGGGCGGAATAGTAGTCTTGGGACATAGAGAATTGTAGGTTCATTATTTCTACAAAAATCATCAATTGGTCGGATTGTGATTTACAGGAGTGCAATTGGGGCCGAATTTCGAAGACAATGTTGGCAGTTTGACTGAAATGACTGGCGTTGAGTGTCGAACAATAATAAGGACAATAATTGCTGACCAATTGCAAACCGATATAACTTTGCTAACCAATATCTCTATTGCTAAATAATAACTTTAAACAAATTTAAAACCTCCATGTACTATAGAAGACGAAGTTACGTTTTCGGGAATAACAATTTTGTTCGAAAATCGAACAACCCTGGGAATATTTGAATTGGTTGCTATCTAGCCAACTTCGGTTTTATATGTACAGAACGCCTGCCCATGCCATGCAAGGGGCATAGGAGAAAACAAATGCAAAAGAGAATATCGGCATGTGTCATACAATAACGGTGGAATGGTATGCGCAGTTTTCGACTTCTGTGACAAAATGAATACCATCTGTCACTTTCAATTCAGGCAGTGATATCATTGTAGGAGTGGCCTCATAACTGCTCTATAGCCACTTTCCAATGTATTCCCAAATTTCACTAAAAAAAACTGTCACTTGTTGCTCCCTCACGCTCAGAAACAGGACTCATTTAGGCAATGCTCCACAAATTGTACTCGAAGTTGGGGTTGCCTTGTTATTTTTTGAGAAGAATACATCATGACCAGCTCATGGTTTATATCTAGAGTGCAGTCTGCTCATCTATACTATGCAGGTTCGTTGTGCCCACATCTTCGGAAACTAAGCCCTCCTGCAGTTTAACCCGCAGAATTCTAGTGTAGTTTATGCACAATATCTTATGAAATATCAATCGAAATTCCGAAATTTTTGTCCCACTCGAACGGAATACTTAAGTAAAGTTGTAGTAATACGTATCGTATGGCGTAATACCAAGATATTTCAGTCACGTCAGATTTTCAGCCTTGGAACGGCTCCCCGTGATCATATGCGTAGGCCACCTTTCGCAAAAAAATGACTACATAATTATCTCGAATTTTCACGATTCCTCTTTGATGGCCGGAAAATTTTAATTGGGTCTATGCTTCCTCGTGATTTGTCAGGTCAGGTATAGAGAAATGTTGGTTCAAATCTCTAGACTCTGCTGATCGAATAATTTGCATTCAGCCGCGTGAAATCTGCCCCAGTGTCGTCGATTTCACACTTCGTTCAAAGACGTGGATCTGGACGGCTGCCTTAAATCGAGGAAAATACTAGGACGAAAGTGAAAAACAGTCGTTGAACTCCAAATAACATATTTTTTCGGAATTGTTTATGAAGCCGAAAATCGTGTTTGATCTCTCAGCCAGAGTATTCGCAAACAAATCTTGTTAATTTGCTATAATTTTACAACGAAATTTTGATTTAATTGCTGGCCAGTTTTGGGCCAGTCTCCTTAAGTATTCACTTAACAGACAGTCAGCAACGCGGCTCAAATACAAATATAATTGGCGTTACAAAATTAGTGCACGGCTTTAATAATCACACATTTCTCTTTCAGAAATTTCAGTCTTCGTTATTCTACATAATTTCTCCGTCGCCCAGAGGTTGCGACAAAAATGTAATTTTTGGAAAAAGGACTTTGATAGAAGTGTCTGCAGAGGGAATGAAGCCGCCGTTTGCGAGACGACCGGTTTTGGATACATACCGTCTTCAGTTTTATGCAGTACCACAAGAACCGCATCGACACGAATGAAATCTTCTCTTTTCGTTTTGGCATGGGCTGTTGGATGTTGTCTGGAAATTAGCTTTTCACCAGAAAGAACAAGGCGTTGCACGATGCACAAATTTATTTGATTTCCAGGTTTAAAATTTGACTGACGAACATGTTAAGTGGAAAATAAATGTCAAAATAAAACCCGTCATTTTAATGCCTTCAAAAATTTGAAACGCAGCGTCGCACCGCTAGATGGTTGGAACAATCTCTTCAAATAGATAGGCGGGCAGTGCAGCGTCACGATTTGTAGGCAGCTTCCATTTCGCCAGGACAAAGCCGTCCCACTTTGTTGATGAGATAGACACAAGGTCTCCTAGCTTGACGCCCTCTAGTCTGAAGTCTGCAATGGCTCTCCACCAGCGACTTTGCGATTGGTGACACTGATACATCTCATCCATGGACTGCATCTGGAATGCGGCATCACCATGAATCGGTGACTTTATCAAGAGGAGTTCGTAGGCGAGCCTGCAAACATTGGAGCTGGCCGTACAGACGAGGAAGTCGGACGACACCAAAAGATGCAAATCCACGAGGATGGCATACACACCTGCGGTAGAAAAACGACTCTTATCCACACTCCCATTTCTCTGTTGACCAATAAATTCATATCTCGGGTATCGCGATCTGGTCTCCTGAAAAACCGATGCCTCATCAGAAGCTAAGAAGATGCGTCTTCTTCTAGACCACGGTGGAGGTCTTGTACTGCCAGTTTCCAAGCCATATTCCACCTCCTTTAACTCAAAGAAACGTTCAACATGAAACATATACTCCTCAACTGCATGGAACTTTGCCTCAGAATGGAGTTTATCGGTTCGACGAATATGTATGCTGGCAATTGGTCCGTCGTATGATTCGGCATCTGAAACCTTCCTCATGCTCTTCAAGGACATTTCTAGTTCCTGTCGCAGCGTCGGATCTTTTCGACGAAGTATATAGTTCAACAGGTGTCCACGGTACCACGGAAAGGGATCGCCTAGTAACTTACCTAGTTTCGCTGACAACTGCCTTGGCACAGCAGGGGGATAATAGAGTTTGTTTATGTTCGGAAGGCTGTTTTGAAGACGAGGGACGTTCGACAGTCCTTCGGTGTGATTTAGCGAGCAGTTAGAGAACGGCAGGAAAAATTCCTTCCAGTCATTGTGCTGCAGCAGTAACGTGCGATTGGTTGCGAAAGCAAATGAAAATTTCAGAACCATGTGGTGAGCAGAACATCCAAAACCACAGCTATAACGCAGATCTGCCAGAGCGAAGCGGGACTGACTGCAGTCAGGAGGATTCTGTATCCTCGAAATTTGTTGTCGCAGTTCTGAGCCCAGTGCATCCACCTTCTGACGTCTACTCTCACGCCGACCACTGAGTTTGTCGAGCAGATCCAGTCTTGCCGTGAGCAGAAGTGTAGCTTGAGAGAGGAGACTGTTTAAGCTGTTTATTGATAAAGATTTCTGTTTGCGGGTGTGGAACTGGGCATTACTCAGTCTCCACAGTTCGTTGACGGTTGAACGGGCCTGTCTGAATAGCACATCGAAATTTGAGTATTTTCGTTCGATTTGCATAGGATTATTGAAAATCACAGTTTCAGCACGACTCTTACTCCAAATCAGCTGATTGGAAGTACTAAGACGCCAGAGAAGAAAGATAATCAACAAAGTGGAACAAACGATCAGTGATGCCGCAGTTTTAGTCCACGTGTGATTTCGATGAAGTAGGAAGCTCCTCGCCTCTGTCTTTGATGATTCCATTCTGCCTAATGTAAAAAGGTTCTTGCAAATAGTCGGGTAGATGACACCTAATTTAACCCGGTTAATTCTACCAATAGAATTGCAAGTTGTAGTCTATGCTGCGTATTTTCGTCTTGGAGATATCAGTGCCCGAGTGATTGACTTGAGCCGGTGTTACAACCAGTAAATGAAGAAAAACATGATCCTCCCTAGCGTGATTCGATCTGTACGCAACCGCAGCCAGTGGCAATATTTTCTTCCACTTGGACGAATACTTAGCAAGCAGCCATAAATTGTGCGACCCATTGAGTTGTCAGTTTATTGCTGGCACACTACAGAAGCTGCTTATGTAGCATTACCTTCTAAAATCGATTTTTGACACCCTACTAAATACAAACATGAATGAGGACGAAATTTCGAGTTCCAGGTGTATGCATAAGTGAAGAAGAAGAAGAGTCGAGCACCGGAACAATTCGTTTATTATCCTGAGCAGCAGGGTCATGAAAATTAAAGACCGGTTGAAACCCGAAGAGCAATCGGGAGTAGTGTATCGTATTCCGTGTCAAAATTGTCCTTGTAATTACACAGGACAGACTGGACGCATGCTCGGATCGCGCATACATGAACATAAGCTGGCTGTACGGCGAGGCGACGCACTATCACAAGTGGCCGCCCACACCTACGAAATGGGTCACGAGTTTGACTTCGCAGCCACCAATTTAGTCGCCCACGCCGGAAACAAGACAGGCCGAGAATTGATTGAAGCCTGGGGCTCGGATGAGAACTCGGTCAATCGATTTATCGATCTGGCGCGGACGTACAGAGCCCTTCGTAGTCACCTCCAGTCGTGCGACGTGCCTACGTGCCTTATAACTGTCGCCTATCCTGTTTCTGCCACTACCTATGACGATGGACTCCTGTACGTGTCTGAAAGCTCAGGATAATAAACGAATTGTTCCAAAGCTCGCCTCTTCTTCTTCTTCACTTATAAATACAAACATATTTTAGATAGCATGCACAAAAATATATTTTAATCCTTTTGTAGCAAAATACCCCTTCTTCGAACTTCATACTTAGTGAAGGAAAGTCATGCGGGTTTAAAAACCCAAGCGCAGTCGGTGGCAATACTTTCTTCCACTTTGACGAATACTTGGCGAGCAGTCAAGACATTTTGCCGCCCTTGAGGAACTACAAAAGGTGGGCTTACTCATCAAATATCAACCGAAATTCCGAAATACATTTCCATTTCGAAAAGATTAATTAAGTAGGGTTGTAAACCAGTCAGCCTGCAAAATAATTCTATAATATTTCAGTTACCCCCGAATGCCAGCTCTCGAATGAACTTCCTTCCGGCTGCATGCAAAAACTACACTCCAGAAAACGTGACAACGTATGAAGCAGGAATTTTTCTCATTGATTTTAGATACCCCAAAAAGCCCAATTATATTTCTTGGAAAACATGCATAACAATACACGTTATTTTACACATTTGGTAGATAATTACGTCTTCTTCTAATTTGATACTTGAAAGAGGTACCTTATCCAGTTTCAAAAATTCTAATTGTGGGACTTTTAAATACCATAAAATGGCCATTCATAAATCGTCATATTTCTGCATTTGGCAATGTGGTTTGTAAAGTTAGCAATATGGATCAAGTTCATTGCTTGATTTTATGAATCCTGTATGGTCATCCTTTATTAAGATAGAGAAATGTGGGGTTATCCGCACGCGGAAAATAGAAGGCTTTTAGTTTAGAAATCCTGAAGGCAAGCGTGACGACAGAGTGGCTTCTAAATTATTTGAGAATTAGAAATGTTCATGAAAACCGAATATTACCCTCTCTTTGAGTACAAAATTTGAAGAAAACGTAATTTCCTACCGAATGAGCAGAAGAATGAATATGTTTATATATGCTTATCAAGAAATATAATTGGACTTTTGGGGGCATCTAAAATCAATGAGAAAAATGCATGCTACATAAGTTGTCATTTTTTACAGAGTGTAGTTTTTAGCATGCAGTCGGAGGGGAGTTCATTCAAAAGTCGGCATCCTGAGATAGCTGAAATATTATAGACCTATTTTGCAGGCTGACTAGTTTTACAGCCCTACTTAATTAATCTTTTCTAAACGAAAACGCATTTTGGAATTTCGATTTTCACATGCTTAACTGTAAAGTGTTCATAGCCTTCAGATTGGCAACGTTCGTTCTGTTACTAGTATGCTTCCTCTGGCCACCTATTTCTTAATCACTTATCTGCGGACTGGTTAACTTCTACCGTTTACCTGTTCAAACGGCGCTTTCTTTCGTGAAGTATCGTGCATACGAACGATCTAGAATTGCCCTCTGCGTCTGCTGTTTCCTCAACTTGGACTTCTAGGCGGGGACCGCCAATATAGCTTTTTTTGTTCATAAGGGCAGCGAAGCAGACATACCGGCAAAATTTATATTCTTCCATCGCTGTTGTATGACATACGCCAATATATTCTCCGCATTTTTCACTCTAAGGTCTCTCGTAAAGGCCAGCCGTATTTTCATTATTATCCTGATGGTGAGCCTGTCGTTTTCAAAAACTGATGCAAAAACTGTGCAGCCTCAGTATTTGCTGACGCATTTGGCGTCCAGCTGGGCATTTTACCGCAGTACGTAGGGGTTCCTTTGCTCGGCAGTATTCCACTACATTCTCCGAGTTTAAAAATTCTGCAGCTGTCTAATTTCCTATTTAACTTCAGCTTATACTCTGTTTCTTGACATAAGAATGCATAATTAATCTCTCTGTTCTTTACGACATTTTATAATTGCATATAACTCTCATATACATATGTCACAACTTACTAGATTTTAAACTGACATTTCAAAATTGCCTTATCATGCAGATAATTACATGCGTTCCTACTTACGTTATTTGACTTTCTTCGTGTTTGTTAGTATGTATTTGCGCAGCCCCTCTAACATTTGCTTTCTTGTCGCCCGCATTATTTGGTATTTAGTTTTCTTCTATTCGATGGGTCGTTCGTTCCATGGATTCGGACCTGCCGAAGACGTGCCTCTGACGGTTTATCTAACCGTCTTTTATTTACTGGCAGTTTATTTTTGCTTATTTTCAATTCCGCAAACATTCCCACGTTACACTTAAAAAGCCAAGTTGGCGAACACCTGTTTTCGATAATTCTTCGTCATGCCAATACAGTTACATGAAGGAATGAAAATGTACAAAATTAACAGTGTTTTATAGGTGTCTCAAGGTCAATTAAGTCATTAACACTCATCTTTCCCCCGCCGCCCGCATGACGAGGTCAGCAGGTTTTGGTCCTCAAAGCTAGGGGAAGGAGGTAAGAGAGTCTTTGAGTGATGTTCTTGGGTTGAGTACACGGAGTACCCATCACTGTAATCAGAGATTTGAGGCAGCATGTCGTCATCACTTGAGGTTGGCGCTGGCCACGGCAGAGAGAGCGCTTGTGTCAGGGTTTTCTGACAGCATAACACGGGATTCGCTAGCCGTATAGCCACTGCCTCGGCCCTTGCTAGTATCCGTTGGCGTAGGCCTTTAGAGAAGCGTGTTGGTGTCCGGTAGACAACCTGAAGTACTTCCTTGGCATCGACTCGCTGATACTTATCGATTAAATGTGAGAGAATAGAACTCGAAATCAATCGCGACAGGACAGACCGGACGACGGCCTAACTCGCAAATAACGGAGCATAAATGGGCAGTCTGGAGAGGGGACCCACTGTCTCAGGTCGCTACCCAAACCCTGGAGGGGGAGGCCAAGAATTCCACCAGCGTTAAGCTACAAGATAATGAGTATTACAATCTTTCCAAAATCCTTCCAAATCCGAAACGAATTTCACAATTTAAGCCAATATTTTATGAGATCGGTCACGCACTGCAAATCCCTTGGATTCTATATTCCCTTAAGTGTTGAAGTGGACATTCCAGTCTGTAAAATCCTTTACAGGCCTTAATTCGTCACGTTCCGCGACAGTCGTGAGTAAAAAATCAGAAAACCCTTTTCAGAAGACAGGCTATTAAAAAAAAAGATACTGAATACTAATACGCGGGATGAGTATTCAGATTTCGAGGAGGACTCCTCACAGACACCATCTAATTTCATTTGAAATATGATACGCCATCAAAGATCGCGCTGGATTTTGAAAAGATTCATATGTTTCATTGACATTCAGCCATAAGGCAGTCATTTCAACGGGTTCACTCCTTGCTGGCAGCTTTCTATGTGGTCAGGTGTTCAGCAATCCCTAACGGAATGGATGTGTCCTGAGTTCCGATTCGGAATGAATTGTCCTCATCAGTCCTCCAATGTGAGTCAGTCGATGGTCTCCCGTTCTATGTGACTACGTCATCTGGAATTTAGGAGACAGAGAACAAGACTTCTAGACCAAGTGCTTAGAGCGTTAAACGTAACTTTTTGGATTCCAACTCAACCTAAATTTAAACCGCGGTTACACATGTCTCTCGACTTAGTTTTTGGCGGCAGAAAAGCCAGAAGTACCAATTATAGTATTGTTGGAATTTGCCACCATTTGCAACTTCCATTAATGGTGTTGGGTTGAGTATTTGCTTGACAGAATGATGAACTAGTAGGAATCCCAGCCATGATGTTTACCAGAGTGTATGTGATGGTAAAAACGGATACGATTAGAAGAGTTGCCGGTCAGTCTAACCTTCTAACACGTGTTATTTTGTGTCGCATCTAAAATTGCTATCTATGGCAGTGATTGTTTTCGGCCGGCCAAAATATGCCCATATCCCTAGTATCTCGCTACTCAGCAGAACTCTTTTTACTGAGCTTGACATCTAGGACGATCCCATTTACTTAC